TTTGAGACAGAGTTTCACTGTGTTGCCCGGGCTAGAGTGCCATGGCGTCATCCTAGCTCACAGCAACCTCAAACTCCTGTCTCACCCTCCTGAGTAGCTGGGACTACAGGCATGTGCCACCATGCCCAGCTAATTTTTTCTCTATGTTTTTTTGTTGTCCTAATTTCTTTCTATTTTCAGTAGAGACGGGATCTTGCTCTTACTCAGGCTGGTCTCAAACTCCTGAGCTGAAACAATCCGCCTGCCTCGGCGTCCCAGAGTGCTAGGATTACAGGTGTGAGCTACTGCGCTGGCCAGGATGCTGTTTAAAAAAAAAAAAAAAACAAAAAAACAATCTGATAAGTCAGAAGTTAAACTTGGAATCCCAACAATGGCTGAGGGTAGAAGAATTGGAGGCCGGAAGATTGTTTGAGGCCAGGGGTTGAAAACCAGCCTGGGGCAACATAGGGAGAACCCATCTCTTTTTTTTTTTTTTTTAAAGAAAAAAAGTTATTCTTGGTAGAGACCTAGGTCATCAGAAGCAAAATAGCCATACGAAGAGATTTTTGCCAGAAGGAAGTTTTTTCCCCACCAACCTTCAGAGGCCGAACAACCATTGTACTGGGTTTTCTGTTAACCCCTCTCCCTTTTGAAGTAATGCAGCTAGTTTTGCAATTGATAACCAAAGGCAGAGGAGTGCTGCTTGGTTGGTGGGAACAGTGCCTGAAATCTTATCCTTGCCAAGCTCAGAAATGTTATCTTTTGACCTGCAGGACCTTATTAGTCCAGAATTTGTGGCTTAAAAAACATTTAGAAAAGTACTATTTATTTTCCCCACTGCTAAATTTGACTGGCTGAAAAAAAAAAGAAAAGAAAAGTACTATTTATCTTTTAACCAAGTAAGAAACATGTCCTTGACTTCAGGGGGCTTATGCTTAAGCAGTTTCTGGGGCTAGCTACTACATAGTGATTAGGGGGAGAAGTGATATTTAAACCACTTAATCTTCAGAAAGCTAAACTTAATTAGGTTAAAACCATGACTTTTGGACACAGCATTTTGTTATGGGAAAGATTATGGGGTTTTGAGCCAATACAGTCTTTTCATTTCAAATTAACAGCTCTTTTGATGTGATTGGAGCACATTCTCTGGGCTTCAGCTTCTTTCTGTTTTTTGCGGGGTAGGGGTGGGGAGGGATACATGGTCTAGCTTTGTTGCCCAGGCTGGAGTGCAGTGGCATGATGTTGGCTCACTGTAACCTTGAATTCCTGGGCTCAAGAGATCCTCCTGCCTCGACCTTCCACATAGCTGGGATTACAGGCATGGGCCATCGCACCCATCCTAGTTTTGTTATTTATACAGTGGTACTATTACCAAAAAATTAAAGCAGTGACACACAGGATTGTATTTAATCTCTCTAGTTTCTAACTTTGTGGTCTTTTTAGTTTACAAACAGGGTAGAATTGGTGGTTTAAATTGGGTTGCCTTGTATTTTCTTTCTCTAAATGTTTGATTGATTTTTGACACCAGTATTTTTTAACCATTGACCAGCCAACTATAATTTGCCAAACAATCGCTTTTCTCTTTATCAAGTACACTCCACAGGGCGATGGAAGAAATTATGGCCATCTAATTCTGAGGAATTTTATATTTTTTATTTTTAATTAGAAATAGTTTGGGGGAGGGTTGTGGTATTCTGATTCTTGTCAGTGGTAGGTTATGACCTAACTTGTCCTATAAACTTGAGGACAGGCAGTTCTTTTATGCCAGTTATGGGCTTCGAGGGATCTTAAACTTCTCCTTCTAGTGTTCTGACTAATTTTCTTTTTGTAGGACATCAGCAGCTCTATGACCAATAGCACAGCTGCCAGTAGACCCCCGGTCACCCTGAGGCTGGTGGTCCCTGCTAGTCAGTGTGGCTCTCTCATTGGAAAAGGTGGTTGCAAGATCAAGGAAATACGAGAGGTTGGTGACTTTCATGCTTCTTTTAGAAATGTTAACTATTTGTTCCAAATGTTAGCTCTCTTTATAGCTAGGAAAAGTTGGCACTTCATGAGATGATTACAGTCTGATAGTACTGGAAATAAAAGATAGATTTTTACAATATAATTTATAGATTTTAACCAGAATTTCCAATTATTGCATGTGGTCAGTTTCCATTTTTTGGGCGACTTTGCATAATTTGGCAACTTTTGCATGAGGCTACGTAATTCTTTTTCATACCTGGAGAGATTACGTTTTGATATAATAGCAAATATTTCCCTTGACCAAACTTCTAAATAGTAAGGGGAAAATGGGAAGTATATAGTTGTAATTCTACTCCCTTTTTGATTACGGAAGTTACATTGAATTATGGGAGCTTTTAATTGTATCTGGAGGTTAGTGAATTTGGTTTGTTAGAATGAAACTTGAATGGCTCCTGGTTGGCATCTTTGGGAGCCTATTGTATGTGCCATGTGAGCAGAGATCTTGATTTTGTAAATTGATGTATTGGAAGCACTTGGAATGGTGCGTGGCACATAGAATGAATAGGCTTGATAAAAATATTTGTTCAACAAGAGAATGAGAAATGAGTGATATTTGTCGGGTTTTGATTGGCCCACAACCTGGAATAAGGGAAGAGTGGGAAAGGAGACTGAACGGGTTAAGATAGAAAATGGGATGAATATGCATTGAGCTTTGGACTCTAAAATCGCTACTGGGAGGAGTTGGAAGAGCATAAGCTGTTTTTTCTGATTTTGAATTTCTTTCTACCCCAAAGAGTACGGGGGCTCAGGTCCAGGTGGCAGGGGATATGCTCCCCAACTCAACTGAGCGGGCCATCACTATTGCTGGCATTCCGCAATCCATCATTGAGTGTGTCAAACAGATCTGCGTGGTCATGTTGGAGGTAAGCCCTCAGGCTCATGCTGAAAATGGGGGAAGGGCGATTCTGGGGACAGAGGGACTGATCTATATTTAGTAAGACTAGAATTAGGTGAAGCTGTTACAAGCCTCCAATGGGGGTAGGGAAAGAGGTTTCCTGAGTTCATATTTTCCTTCCCCTAGCTTTGACTTTTTTCTTACGGTCTGTGAACAAAAATAGAAACTGCTAAGCAGCAGTGATCTTTTGGTTCACAGCAATTCTAGTAGAGTTAGTAGGGAAAGATGCACTACTTGGACAAAAGCTGTATTTGGGTTCCTGAGAAGCTAAGTAACTTTTTGAGTTACTATATTTTGGTTATGTGGAACTTCGACATGTTGTTTAAATTAGTTTCTTGATTTGAAGCAGAATATTCAAGATGATAGTTAAATAGAATAGAAAAATGTATTTATGATGATGATTCTGAATGACTTGTGAGGTCCTGATAATTTACTATCATTCAATTAAAACCAAAAAGTGACAGAATTAAGGGAAATTAAGTGTTCTTAGATTTGTGATATGGAGTTGGTCTAACTGGTGAGAAAGGAAAGTAGGATTTTGAAGTAGAGTTTAGAAAAATCTTGGTTGGGTCTTTGTACCATTTGTAGATATTGTCTATGTTATCTTAGACAAAACATTTGCATACTTTATTTCCAATTTTGGTTTTATTTTCTATTCAGGCCAAAATGTGAGATCCTAAAAATTACCAACTAAAATGTACATGTATACACATAGCAGTTTTTCATCTTCATTAACTTGCTGCAGTGGTTGATGCCTATAATCTCAGCACTTTGGGAGGCTGAGATGGGAGGATAACTTGAGGCCAGGAGTTTGAGACCAGCCTGGGTAACACAGTGAGACTCTATCTCTACAAAAAATGGTGGTTGAGCACACCTATAGTCCTAGCTACTGGGGAGGATGAGCCAGGAGATTGGACTTTGCAGTGAGGTGTGATCATGCCACTGTCCTCCAGTCTGGCTGGCAGAGGTGAGACCCTGTCTGTCACATGCAAAAAAGAAAATAGTGTGTAAGATTGTTATAGGGGCATCTACCTTGATGAAAGACAAATAACTGCAGATAATTTGAGATTAGATGTAGCCAGAGACGATTCGGTAGGTGAGGGGTTGGAAATACTACAATTTTTAAATTTAACTGACCTGTGTGAGCTAAAGCCACACAGCTGAAGCAGCTTTGAAACCTTATCTCTCTTTGTTTTTTTCCCCTCTGACTCTCTCCCAGTCCCCCCCGAAGGGCGTGACCATCCCGTACCGGCCCAAGCCGTCCAGTTCTCCGGTCATCTTTGCAGGTGGTCAGGTAAGAAAATTCTTACTGGTGGGCTTAGAATGAACAAAGATTATATTTGAAATGTCAACTTTGCCAGCAGCACACCAAGTCACTCTGCATGCTTGCTGAAACCTATACTCTGGCCATAGTTTGACTTGCTTTTAGTTTTATTTTTTGTACCGGAGAAAGCTATGAATGCCAAGCCTTTGTTTAATTTTTAGCAGGCAATGGAAGTTTTGTAGGCACTCTGAAGAGGTAATTTATGTGGTAATTTAAGATGGGTTGGGTTAGAAGAAAGAGTTAAATTGCCTTGGTGCCACTACTTCTCTCCCTACCCCCACTCCATCCATGGTTTTGTGTGTGGGGGGCTGATCTTTAGAGGTCTGAATAAAAGTAGCCAAGAGTTGGACCTCTGAAGGAGATTCTGGATGGTGGTCTCAAAATTGGGGGGGGTCCTGAACTTGAGTGTCCTACAAACTTTCCCTTCCCTCCACCTCACCTCCCCTACTCCTACCCCTTCACTCCCAAACTCCAGTGTGTTGTCCCCCAGGCTCTTAACCTCATAAACACTGGTTTGAACCCACATGGCATAACTGAAATCAGCTGGGGTAAGAGTTCAGGGTGCAAGAATAGAAGGGGGGAGCGCATTGGGCTGTGGTGCTGTGATCTTTGGTGTTAGAGCAAAACACCAAAGCACCTCCTTGGCCTGTCCTTGCTCCTTCCTCACGAACCTAAACTCTTGATCTTTGGCACATGGGTTATTCTGAAGTTAGAATTTTTTGACGAGCATTGATCAGCATCATGGTAGTCTTATGTTTTGTTGGTTAGTGTTTGAGGAGTAAGTAGGTAGGTCAGTTTTTAAAATACTGAAGTTGGCCCTTCGTGTCTGGGTTCCACATCCATGGGTTCATCCAACCTCGGGTCGAAAATATGCAGAACAAAAAGGGTGGTTGTGTTTGTACTGAACATGTACAGACTTTTTCCCTTGTCATTATTCCCTAAACAGCATAGTAAAACAACTATCTGCCTAGCACTTAGATTCTATTAGGTATTGTAAGTAACCTAGAGATTTAAAGTATACAGGAGGATGTGTTTAGGTTATATACCAGTACTACACCATTTTATGGAAAGGACTTGAGCAGCCATGGGTTTTGGTATCCATGGTGTGGGGGCAGGGATCCTAGAACCAATCCCCCACGGATACCTAGGGACAACTAGGGATGACTGTATTGAGACTCACGTTGGAATAGTGACTTTGATTTTGGTAGCAAGTGTATTTATTCAACTAGTTCCATCTTATTTGTATTTGATCTGGGAGCCATTTAGAGGAGAAGCATAATCTTGGAGTACATCTCATTCACTTGAATTGGCATAAAACTCAACTAGTTTTAGGAGGCTTAGTCTGTCACGTAGTTTTGGAAGCTTACGCAAGAAGTTAATCATGTTTACAGTGTCTTGAGATGGTTTAGTGCCTTGATTTTAGCATTAGCCTGTACAAACTGGTTTGGGCAAAGGACCCTCAGTCAGTATGGATAGTCAGGCAAGATAAGCAAAGTCCCAGAGTCATTGTAGCCAGGAGGGGTTATCCTTGGGAGTTTCTCCTTCTCCCCAGGAACTCCAGGTTCTTGCTCTTCTGGATTCTTGCACTCCCATTTGGTATTACAAAGAGTCCCATGCTGGGTGGCAGCAATCCTCTCTACTTAACATTCTTCCTTTACTTCCTTTTTTTCCCTTCCCTGTCCCTCCCCATTCATACCTCTTTGCTTCCCTACCCACCCTCCCTCTTTATTCAGTTGACCACCCTCTAAAAGCTTAGAGCTTCTTCCATGAGTGGCCCTGTCGTGGATCATTCCAATGGGCCTTTTTAAATGGACTAGTTCATATGATGTCCACAGATGGACCTGTGTCTTTTGTTCTTTGTGGCAAAGTGGGCTCTGTAGGGGTTTAACTTAATCCTACACTGACCAGGAGCTGGCATCAGCTCTGTTGCCCCACCCCTTTACTCTTACTGAATATAGCCCAATTGTTCAGTGTGAAATCTGCCACTAGGTAACTTTTTTTTTTAATTCACTGATTGCAGCTCGTTTCAAATTGTGTCGTGAGCTCCTTTTTAAAGGAAAAAGGAAAAAATAAACAACCTTTTTTTTGTGTGAATTTCATGCTGGTGACAAGGTGCCGGATTGACAGCCCTGGAGACTGAAATCCTCTATTTATCCACAGGACAGGTACAGCACAGGCAGCGACAGTGCGAGCTTTCCCCACACCACCCCGTCCATGTGCCTCAACCCTGACCTGGAGGGACCACCTCTAGAGGTGAGAGGGGATGTTCAGTCTCCAAGGCTCACTCAATCCTTCCGCCTCAGCCGAGACTGCCAACACGCGGGGGGCCAGTGGCGCTGGTGATTTTTGTGCTGTGGACACCACCTGTCCACGGGGACCTGGACTGACCCCCCCCACCTCATTTCCACAGGCCGCGTAGCCCACCAGATGGTAACACCAACTCTTTTTTTTTTTTTTTTTTTTTTTTTAATTTTTTTTGTTCAACCCCTCTTCCCCCTCTCCCACTCCTCCCACCCCATTTTCACCTTCCTCCCACCCCTACCTGGGTGCACTTTTGGGGGTACTGGCCACTGTGATGTGAGGAGCTTCACATCCTGTTAATCAGCCACTCCTTCCTCCCCCTCCCTTGCTGTTCCCTTTTCCTTTCCTCCTCGTTCCCCACCCCATTGCCCTAAAGACCCAACTCCCTTTTTGGGAGGTTATGGTGTGGGGGGAGGAGGGCACAGTGGGAGCTGCAAGTGCCTTTTATGGAGGGGAGGAGGGAGAAGGTAGGACTGTAGAACACAGTGGTTTTTTTGTGTGTGTTCCTGTGGTCAGCTCCTTAGTGTTAGGGACCTAGCTAGCTTCCAGTGTACTTAAGGTCTGTAGGCAGATACAGAGAAAAATAAGATAGGGAAAGAGAAGTGTTTCAAAACATGCCATGTAGGTTTGTGCAGATACTCACATCACCATGATTGGTAGAAGGGTTGGGGTGGTGAGGGAAGAGACCATTATTTCTCCTAGGCTATCTTATATACTGGAAGAGTGGGGCTTGGTCAGTCGAGGCATTGCTTAATCTCACTTCCCACATTTTCATTAAGATGTGTATGTTTTGTGTTTGATTCCAGGGAATTTGGTTACCTTTATAGGATCCCCATAATAAAGTCGTTATATTTAGGGTTCAAAGAAGGCCAATTTGGGTCTGACTGTATTTGTGAGATTCCATCTACTGCCTCAATCCCTGGCCTCCCCCTTCTCTAGTTCAACTCTGGCTTCCTGGCTAGTTGAAATCTGTCTTTTTCCCCCCCACTGGGTGGCTGTCCGTGATTGGTTTTTAATAGGAACTGTTTTCCTCCTTTTGTAGGCCTATACCATTCAAGGACAGTATGCCATTCCACAGCCAGATGTAAGTTTTGTTTTCACTTCTTGTTTTGAAAAGTTCCCTTTCCCATCCAAAATTGTCTCACTCCTTTCTCCCAAGTAGCCAGAAGTGAGTTGGGTCTTAAACATTTGAAATGTTGTTTTCCTCACAAGGTGAACCCCATATTTCATGCCTTAAAAAATTAATCTTTAATCAGAGAATAGTAGTGCTTTGTTTGCCTTTTGACATTTAAATTATGATTCAGATTATTAGCTTCTACTTTTACCCGTGTTTCAGATTACTCTGGAAGAGAAATGTACCATGGTATATTGTCATGTTATCTCAGGGCACAGTTTAAATTGAAAGTGGGCTGTGCTTCCCTGCATGGATTTCTCCTTTTCATGGGGGGTGTGGGGGGATTGGATTTGCTTTTGGGTACTCCTCTATCTGGGGGACCATTTTTAAAGTATTTGGTGGGAAGGAAGGGGCTTATTTGCGTAGGGAGGGATAGGAAGCTAAAAATTTGGACTTCAACTCAAAAAACCTTTCTTGCCAATAAAAGTTCTTATTTTAAAATGCCAGTGTTTAGACTTTGTTTAAGGACATTTCTTTCTGCACTTTCGTTTATCCTTACTAACCTTTTCAGGTGCTGAGCATTAGATTTAGGAAGTTGAGTTTGGTTCTTGGTTAGTGGTAGGAACCAGGAGAGGGACTTGAAGGATTATTTTACAACAGCCAGGACATTTTGTATAGATGAAGAAAAATAGCTGTAGAAGTCAGTGGTGATGGTGGGACTAAACCCAATTTGGTTTCTTCTTAACCTGTCTCCTCCTTGCAGTTTCCCTGCCCCCCTTCATCTCCTTCCCTCTTCCCAATACTGATGAAATCCTGCATGGTGTGTTTTCCCTAGCACCACTGCACAGTTTGTTTACCTATCCTGTCCGTGCTTGTCCCTGGGGCAACTGTTGCAATGGCTGCAAGCACCTTCATTAAATAGCCCACAAAAGGGATGGTTGTTGGGCAAGTGCTATATTGCTTACCGTTTCACACACCCAAAATGCATTCATTCTCTTACACTGACACTCCGTTTCTAACCCTTACTGTTCATAATCTGCCCTTCCCCAGGATTGTGACGTAAGCCCTATCACTACCTTCCGTTTTAGGTTGAGTAGTAGAGTCAACTTTGGGGATCAGGAGCTTTACATTTTCAAATTTGAATGTGCTTGAGCCCTGACTGTTAACTCTTCTAATGCCAGTCTTTCCTGTTTCCTCCTTGCAGTTGACCAAGCTGCACCAGTTGGCAATGCAACAGTCTCATTTTCCTATGACGCATGGCAACACCGGATTCAGTGGTATGGATGCCTCAGTGTTTATTTTTGTAAGGTGTAGTGCAAGACAGAGGCCAGTCCCAAGGTCTCTCAGCTTGTCATCTGTTTAAAACAAACTTGGTTACCCAGCATCCTGCTGGTTTAAACTTGCCTGTCTACTATGGCTAAGCCCAAGGAGGTAATGTGTTTGTTAACGTGGTTTTCATTTGGGGTCAGTTATTCTAAAAGAAGAAAAAAGTCCCTGGAAGGTTTGGGGGTGAGGTCTGGGGATGCTTGTCAGGCAAAGGGTAGGCTGGTATTTCTTTGAACCATCCTGACTGCTGCCCCCTTAATCTGATCAGCATCCCCTTTCTCTCCACCAGCTATTCACAGGCTTGGGTAGAGACCATCCATTTGTGCCAAATTGTGTAGTGTTTTTTTGTTTTTGTTTTTGTTTTGTTTTGTTTTTTTGGGCTTTTCTGTATAAGGAATAACTTGTCCGATAGGGTTAGGATGAGACCACCAAACTCATTTTCACTTGTATCTTAACAGGCATTGAATCCAGCTCTCCAGAGGTGAAAGGCTATTGGGGTAATGATTAAAAAAAAAAATCTGTAGTATTCTACTGTTATATTAATAAACTGGTGGGAGTCTTGTTTCACTGCCCATGAACCATACCAGCAACATTCACATGGCAGAGAGGAGCTGCGAGAGCAAAGGGGTGGGCCTGGTGCCCCCATGGGGGTCCCTTGATGGATCTGGCCAACCCCCTTCTAAAAATGTTGAGACCAGCAGCCACAGCTGAGAGCAAGATTAGGCTTGAGGGTTAGCAAGCTGGACTGGTTAAGTCCAGGTGTTGTTATAGATGGATATGGCTTTTTGCGGATGAGGTTTTTTTTTCTTTTTCTTTGGAAAACAAAAGACAGAACAAATTATTGAGCAGAAGACAGGGAGTAAATCTGGAGAAATGAACTCCCCTCACCTGACTGCCATTTCATTCTATCTGACCTTCAAGTTTAGGAGGATAGGGGTGGTGGAGGGTGTTAATCTGATACAGGTATATTTAAAGCAACTGCATGTGTGCCAAAAGTCCATGGTACCCATTAACAGGAATGTTATTGGCACTGGTGCCTAGTGAGCATCAGGTGAGATAAAATTGGAATACAACAGCAGGAAATCCTAAGCAGAAAAAGGGTAGAAGTACAGAGGGACTTGTTTAGTTTTTGGTCCTGTTTGAGGATACCACACTCCCTTGCCCCTTGCTTTCATCCCCCTATATCCCTAAGAGGCTGGGCTTTGCAGGAAATGGCATGAAATCAGCTCTTCTGAGTGTACAGAAGAATCTTTCCAGCATTATTTCTGCACCCTTCTCCCCGTCTTTCCTCTTTGGAGGCTTCCAAGTTAGTGACGAATCCCAACAGCCAATGCTGGGTTTCCAGTTTATTTCTTTCTGTTAGTTTAATGTGCAGCAGTGGGGTTTTGAATGCTGTGCATTGAACTTTCTTGCTTTCTTCTGTCTTTTAGCAGGTTTGGATGCATCTGCTCAGACTACTTCTCATGAACTCACCATTCCAAACGATGTAAGTATGGTTAGTTGGGTTGCATGTGATGAAAATAAGAAAATTGGTTTTAAATAAATGGAAGTCTTGTAGAATCACAAGGTTGAGACTTAAAGCATAGGGTGCAGTGGTTCTTGATTGTTAAATCTTTGCTAAGATGATGGTCACTAACCACATGTTCACATTAAGAATAATAAAAACAGGCCGGGCGCGGTGGCTCACGCCTATAATCCTAGCACTCTGGGAGGCTGAGGCGGGTGGATTGTTTGAGCTCAGGAGTTCGAGACCAGCCTGAGCAAGAGCGAGACCCCGTCTCTACTAAAAATGAAAGAAATTAATTGGACAGCTAAAAATATATAGAAAAAATTAGCCGGGCATGGTGGCGCATGCCTGTAGTCCCAGCTACTCGGGAGGCTGAGGCAGTAGGATCACTTGAGCCCAGGAGTTTGAGGTTGCTGTGAGCTAGGCTAACGCCACGGCACTCACTCTAGCCAGGGCAACAGAGTGAAACTCTGTCTCAAAAAAGAAAAAAAAAAAAGAATAATAAAAACAATAAATTTAGTTCCTCAGTCTTACTTGTCATAGTACAGGTATTCAATAACCACATATTGCTATTTATTATATTGGACAGTGCAAATGTAGACCAATATTTAACCTTTTCCCAAGGCAAAAGCATTAGAAATTGGCCAAAATTCTTGTCAGTGTAGTATGGTAGTAATCGTGTGAGTTTAAGCATCTTTGCTGTCAGAAACAATGTACCTTTATCTGTATCTCTATTCCTAGCCATGTAACTAGGTTTTTTATTTGGCTCTGGTTTATTTTGTCTTTGGAATTAATGTTCTGAGGACAGAAATAATGGAGAGCTAATGCTTGGACCTAGGAGTTAGCTAGCTCATAGTTGGCTCTGACCTACAGCAGTCAGACGGAAGAATGGGTCAAGACAAGTTGAAGGCCAGGCGTGGTGGTTCACGCCTGTAATTCTAGCACTCTGGGAGGCCGAGGCGGGAGGATCACTCAAGACCAGGAGGTCAAGACCAGCCTGAGCAACAGTGAGACCCTGTCTCTACTAAAAATAGAAAGAAATTAGCTGGATAACTAAAAATACATAGAAAAAATTAGCTGGGCATGGTGGCGCATGCCTGTAGTCCCAGCTACTCAGGAGGCTGAGGCAAAAGGATTGCTTGATCTCAGGAGTTTGAGGTTGCTGTGAGCTAGGCTGACGCCACGGCACTCTAACCCAGGCAACAGAGTGAGACTCTGTCTTAAAAAAAAAAAAAAAAAAAAGACGAAGAAGGTAGAGGGATGGGATGGAATTCTTGTACCTAGTGATGCAACTCTAATTAATTTGGTGTGCCTTGTTTTTCCTCCCTTAAGTTGATTGGCTGCATAATCGGGCGTCAAGGCGCCAAAATCAATGAGATCCGTCAGATGTCTGGGGCGCAGATCAAAATTGCGAACCCAGTGGAAGGATCTACTGATAGGCAGGTTACCATCACTGGATCTGCTGCCAGCATTAGCCTGGCTCAATATCTTATCAATGTCAGGTAAGGTTGCACTACCTTTTGTCTTATTAATGCCCACATAGTAATGTGTGTGTTGGGGAAAGCTGCAGTATGTTATTAAATATGAGGTTAATTGGGGGATGGGTAGAAATGGCCAAAGAAAGTCTAGCCCTGCTTTCCTCCATCTTTAGTGTAGAAGAAAAAGATGGCAGTAAATTTTCATAGGACATGCATAGATAGCTTGCATTTGACTTTTGATGCTTTGGGTAGTGGAAAGGATGTTATATGTCTTCAATAGTACTACAGTCTTCTTGCTAGAGCAACCCTATGAACAGACAAAACCAAATATGCGTCTCTCTTGTTCTACATGTCATATAGATCACTATTTCTTACATTGATTTGGGGTCCAAAGCACCTTTAATAACTAAAAGTAATGGAGTAATGTGATAGGGAAGTTTCTTGGAGGCAGCCATTACCATTTATTCTGAAAATAGCCATTTTTCTCAAATTGCAAATGTATTCCATTGTTCATAGCTTGTGGGAAAGGGGGAAATACAGGTATTGGAATGTTTCAGAAATGCCAAGTGTACTTTATATGTCATGTCCACCCCAGTCTCATTTCTTAATGACTTCCTGAGGTTTTATGTCCCTTGTCAATACCTAGCTAATGTTACAGTGTAGAACAGTGTTCAAAGTCAAATAGGCATCCTACAGAGCATTTATATTTTTTGCTTTCTAAGCTCATGGGCTTAAGTCACACCCTTAATTACTTAGTAACATTTTAAACCAGTGTTAGTAGCCCATTTCCCAAGGGACTTAGTGCTATCCTTTTTATGGAGAGTATTGTCTACTTATAGAAAAGACATTCTAGATCTTTCTTGTTCAGCCACCAAGCACATCAAGTCCTTAATGTTCAGAATGAAGTGGTAGTAAGCTTTTGCTCAGAGGCTGTTTGCAAAGATTTGTTTTCTTGTTTGTAATTGGGGTATTGAAGGGAATTTTTAAGTGGCAAGAATCATGTTCTTGAAAGCTGGAAATTGTTTTCTTCTGCTTTGGGTAGGCTTGCCCTGAGTATTGTCAGAGTGTTTAATATTGTCACTGTTTAAATGTGACTTGCTTGCCTGGCCCCTAGGGGCACTAGGTCACTGGCTATGCTGTAAGGAAGGAGAACTTCTCTGCTTAAAGTCATTGTTTTCAGGATCATTCTTACTGAATGTCTTAGCTGTTGAGGATCATCCTATTTTTAAAAAACCATCCAAGACATGGATTGGGAAAACCTTGAAGCTTCATTTAACACCAAAGGAAGGACTATGCACACCCAAAGCTTACTCTTCACTTCCTCATCTTGGTCCAGTTTGAATGCAGAAATCAAACTGGTTTTTTGGTTTGTTTTTTTAATACTAGGCAAGAAGGCTTTCTCTGCTTTCATTAATGGATTCTGAGCATTTCTGCTGTCTCTTGAGTTTTCATGGTGTCAGTCTGCTCCTTTGTGCAGTTAGGTGACTTCTGTATCCCCCTCCTTTATGAATTGCTCCTGTCCCTGGACGTAGGTAAATGAAAATAGGGATTTAAGAGGATTCTTTCTGCCCTCCAAGATTTTGCCTTCTGGGGTCAGTTATTGAGACAAACTTCAGCAAACATCTGTAGTTCTGATGGAGGCACATAGAGGTTTTGGGAGATGCAGATTCTTGCTGTTATTTGGAGCTTACTTTAGGAGTAGAAGCAACATTATTTTTGCTTTTTAAATGTAAATATTTAGGTAGTACTTGAGTTTCTCTCTTCCGGTTCTGAAAGATCCACATGAAGTATGGTCAGTAAAAACAAAGCATTTTATATTACCTCCCACCAGAAAAGCTTTCCTGGTTTTTACCTACATTTTTGTTCTCCGCATTTTTCATTGAAAATGCTGCATTCTTCGAAATTTGAATTAGTGACCTACTTTGGACTTTTGTCCCTTTCCATTCTAACATTGGTTCCTCTGCTGTGAGGATGTAAAAAGTTAGCCAGGCGTAGTGGTAGGCACCTGTAGTACAAGCTGCTTAGGAGGTTGAAGCAGGCGGATCACTTGAGCCCAGGAGTTTGAGGTTGCAGTGGGCTCTGATGACACCATTGCACTCTAACCCAGGCAACAGAATGAAACCGAGTCTCAAACAATACAAAACAAAAAAACTGATTAACATTAAAAGCTTCACAGGTAATTACTGGGTAATTAATTTTCTATTAGAATGGGAAATGGAGAGGGGATTGGAGGAAACATTTCTTCCTTGTTTAGAGATTGATGAATGCTCTGATTTTCTACCTGAAATCATTCCTTTGACATCTGGGTTGGGTCAGTGTGTCAGATACCTGGAAATAAGTGCTGTGTGATTTCTCAGTCTGTCAGCCTTTTCTTCACCGTAGCAGTTTTAAATAGCATGTGCAATGGAAAGGTGGCAAAGTATACATATTTAGAGGGTGGGACACAGATTTTTAAAAGAGAGACAGCTTGTCAGAAGTTGATATTAGTTCTTCCTAATTGGCAGTCAGAGACACTGATATGACTGAAGCGGTTTTTGTCCTGTACTTTTTCCCTTTTGTGGTCTTCCCGTCCACCCACCCTTTTTTTTTTGTTCCTTTTTTTCCTCTGTTACAGTTTAGAAAACGCTAAACCCTCCTCCCAGGCAGCCTCCGTCACGATCCCTGATCACCTCAGCATCAACCTCTCTCAACCCTCCACCCCTTCTTCTTCTTCTTCCTCCTCCACCACCACCCCCTCGCTCGCCACAGCGGGGACCTCCGACGCACCCTCCAGCCTCCCCAACCCTCTTCCGACCGCCCCTTGTGTCTCCAGTCTGCTTGGCATGAAACCCATCCCTCTCCTGGCTCTAAATGTTGTGTCTGCTGCTAAGGGTACCGGGGCTTCAGCTGCCACCACCACCAACTCTGCTGTGCCATGTGTAACTAACAAACTGAAAGGAGAGAAACAGAGATTCTCACCCTACTGATTGCATATCTTGAGGCACTTCCTCAAGTGTTTTTGGTTCATTTTGTTTTCCTTTGTTAACATTGGTGAGAACCAAACTATTGTGAGCTTGTGAACGTTTCCTTTTTACTACTTGGGATAACTGGGTGGGGGTGGGGGCTGGTAACCCTTGTTTAGGTTTAGGCTTCATCTGAGTGCCTGTTTCAGAGTCTGACTTGTTGAATTCTTTAGAGCCACAGTTCTTGCTCTTCTTTCTTGTTGTTACCTTTTTTTGTAGCTTTATTCTGCCTTGCAATATAATAATGTGTTAGGCTCTGTGTTAATGAATAAAAGCTTGTCCGTTAACCCTTTTTTAATTAATTATTTAATGATTAAGCTATATCAGCAGGCTTTCTTGACCAGATTTGTGTTTCTAGCTGTAATAAAGTTGCCACAGTAAGAACCTTAGTTCACCGTGTGCTGTGAAGGGTAAAGGGGTGGGAGCTTGTGACTTGTGGCTACTACTCAATTAGGAAGTCTGTACAACCGACTGGGGCCTTTTTGTATCCCAGGTTAATTTTATAATCCTTCGTCAGTATTCCCACAAAGAGATATGGGCCTGTGACAGTTTAGATCCTGGGGGTCCTCCATAATTGGCAGAAAGCTTCATTAGTGAAGAGTCGTTTATCTGATTTATCAGTCCCTTACCCTGTCAACAGCACCAGGTAACAAGGGTGTCCATCTAGTGAGTGGTTACTATGAAGATCTCTTCCAGGGCATACATACAGAGAATGTATTTCTTTACCCCAAACCAGGGAAGGGGTGGGAGAGTGGGATAAATATAATAAAATTAGGCAGTTTCTGTCTGCATTGCTCAAAAGTAGTATTACCTGGGTTTTTTCTGTGACATTAGGTTGATCTTGAAGAACCAACCTGTGACATTGCCTAGAACTTGAAAGGATGCTATCCAATGATCCTAGACCAATTTTGATTAATCAAGCAAGATTCTTTACCTTTTTTAATATTCTCTGCCCTCTCTTCACCAACACTGTTGTTATGAGTAGGAAATCATATGCTTAGATTTGGAAGGAACCTAATGGATCAATTAATCTGTAACTCATTGATCTTCTCATTTAACAGATAAAAAAATAGAAGCCCTAAAAAAATTTAAATTCATAGATCATATGAGTGACTAGCCAGGACTAACAACTTGTGCTTTACTTTTACTCAATCGTACTAATCTCCCTGAAGCCCTATTCATTTTCTTATCTCCAAATGGGCACAGGCCTCGTTCATAAAAGAGTATGTAAATGCTCTAAGTATAATGGTAGAAGTCCTCTGATACTCTTCTAATTAACCAAAGTACACATTGCCACAGTGCTGAAAATATAATGCTCTCCCTAGGACATTAGAGAACTCATTGTAGAAATCGTACGTACCCCTAGTCTGCATGAAGTCTCCTTTGTTGTCCAGGTAGGAGTTTTCTTACTAGTTGCTCCTTTATCATGTGGTTCAACTCACTTGGTAAACTCCTTCTGTAGTTAGGACTTAAGTCATGCTGATACCATCTGCTCCCAGGGTCCTGGTTTTATTATATCTAGTATCTTGATCGGAAGGCCTCTTAACCTAATCAGGTATTCCCTAAGGAAGGATTCCTGGGAAGGAATCCAGATGTTTAAGGGGCTAACTATCACTACCTTCAAAGGTACATGCTGTTAAGTTTTTTAAAAGGTTAATTAGAGCTCCCCCATGTGGTCCTTCTGTCCTAGAGTCTGTGACATTATTTCTGGTTGGGTTTTCCCTTCTCCTTACCTCACTCTCCATACTCCATCCCTGTAAATCCCCACTCAGACTTGGTATAAGCTCTGGAAAATTCTTTTTGAACTCTTGTGGGGCCATACTACAACCGCTTCCTTGCATGAACTAAGTCTTAGCTCTAAACTGTATCCAGCAGTTCCTTTCTTACATTTCGATTTCCCACTGAACTCTTTCATTCAGGGGCTATAGTTTACCTTTCTGTAGATCATCCTATTTTGAGATTGGCAAGAATCCATCCCTTTTAAGAACTAACTATTCCCCTTCATGCTGGGGTGGAGAAACCATTTCTGACTTAAAAGTAAATACATTGCAGTTGAAGGACTCTTCAGTTTTCTGGCCCTTGGTTTTCCTCCTTCTGACCAGCTTATGGCTTTGCATTGTTGTGGAAGGTCTGAGTCTTACACAGTTGGTTCTATTCAAAATGGTAGTTAGCTTTTTCTGGCTACCTAGTATTAGTATTAGTGAAGCATAACGAATGCCTAAATACCTTGCCCTCAAATGACTTATTTGAAGCAAAGACATTACAGCCATGTTTGGATGAAGGATTTGGCTTGATGGGAAGACCAGATTTAGGAGCTTCTAGAGTAAGCTACTGAGTTGAAACATTTTGTCTGCCACTTTTAAGTCCTGAAAACTAGGCCTTAAAAACAATTAGAAATAATTCTTGACCCATATAGTTATTCAACATGGTCTTTACATCTCTTTAACATCTCCAGCCTTTAAAACTGTATTACCCTTAATAGTAATAGAATATACATTAACAGAGAAACCCAAGGCTATTCTAGAGTAAAAGCTTTGGATTATCTCAGCATTAACCTCATGAGGCTATTTTCAGATTAAGTATTTTTTCCCTAAACTCTGGTATTCTATCAGCAGTTTGGGAAGAACTAAAATAAGCTCAGCAATAAAGAAACATTGCTTCTGTGTATTGTGACCCTTTAAGAGGAGGCTTTAGTGAGTGGCATATTTTCAGTAAGTGTTTAACATCTCCTACTTTGGAGATGCAAATACTTCCCAAAGAACATAGTTGGACAGACAATTGGTAACCAAGTTACTCAGTTACCCTAAACTCTGGGGTAATTTGCCTCAGGGAGCTTGGATTTTTTAGGGGTTAAAGGATCAGGTTTGTGGTACTGGTTAATTCAACAAACCTTAAAGTATCTCCCTGGATACTGAAGCACTGATTATGTACTACTCACATTTCACGAACCAGGCTGAACGATCAGAGGTGAGGTGCAGCTGGGCCCTGGAAATACTAACTTTGAGTTCTTGTTTGTTTCTGTGTTACAGGCTTTCCTCGGAGACGGGTGGCATGGGGAGCAGCTAGAACAATGCAGATTCATCCATTATCCCTTTCTGCTGTTCACCACCACCCATGATCCATCTGTGTAGTTTCTGAACAGTCAGCGATTCCAGGTTTTAAATAGTTTGTAAATTTTCAGTTTCTACACACTTTATCATCCACTCGTGATTTTTTAATTAAAGCGTTTTAATTCCTTTCTCTGTTCAGCTGTTAAATGCTGAGATCCATATTTAGTTTTATAAGCTTCTCCCTGTTTTGTTTTTTTTTTTTCAGTTTTTTTTTTTTTTGGCTCATGAATTTTCTGTTTGTCATGGAAATGTAAGAGTGGAATATTAATACATTTCAGTTTAGTTCTGTAATGTCAGGAATTTTTCAAAAAAAATTAAAAGATGGACTGGAGCTTTTTCTTTGTGAATAGAAACTGGATGCCACAGTGATTCATGTGGGTTTTATTCCTCTTGTCTTGCTGTTATTTTTGTACCTTTTATCTCTCAAAGGACCTTGCTTGGGTTCTGAATAGAAGCCTTTATTCCAGTTAAGATGTTTTCTTCTGTTTTGCCACTTTCATCTTTTTTTGTGGCCCTTGATCCTGTTTTCCTTGACCCCGTGCTTTATTGGTCCTTGTAAAACTGCCCAAAAGATTGGGAATTGGATTTATCTGAAGAGTAGGCAAGGACTTCCATTGGGGGTGAAGGGGAGGACACACATGGATACACATGGAAGCAGTTGGTCATGTATCTGGGTTTCAGCTTCTTGGGACTGTCTGTTCCCTTGTTCAGGCTTCCATATTTTAAACTAAAAACTTCATTCTCATTTTAAATAATTGTTCATTTATAGTTCTCTCCCTAATGATTGGGTAACAAGATCTGCTTCTGCCCTTGTACTGAAATCATTTAGAAAGATGTACCTGCTACCATTTATGCCAGTAATTTTAGAATGCTGGAGATTGGCATGATGTTCATTTAGTGAGAAAAGAGGTGTAAAGGGGGTAGTAACTTGTCCAGACACCTCAGAGCGAGTCTGAAGCCCAAGGATTTGTCTTAACCATATATGCTACCCCATTCATTCGTCAAGAAAACCCTCAACAGCTGGGCCTGCATGGAGTGGTTATATTTCAAGGTTTTTCACAGGGTTTACAATATGACAGTCCCCACCCCAATCAGGCACCAGGATAAAAGTAGGGACTTACACAGCACCCCAGTTCTTCAGCCTGAGCCATCACATGCTATCAGTCTCCTAACCTCCCACCTGGGGCCCTAAGCCAGGGCTTTGGCAGAGAAATGGAGGGACAAAAAAATGAGTTACATTGCCACCTGAGAAACCTCAGAGGGGAGGACCCAGCCTTAGTCTCCCTCCTCCCAAGTGCAAAATGTGTAAACAAAAGTGCAGTCTAAATGGTTCCCTCTCCTGCCCCCCAGTATTTGGGGTTAGAGTACAGAGACAAGCGTGGCTTTTCTATTGCCTGACTGCTTGCTGAACATAAGGAATGGGGTGAAGCAGGAAGGGGCCGGTTTCTCCTTATGCACAGCTCTAGGGCAGTGTTTACCATTCATTTCCACAGCTGCCAGTGTCCCTAGAGTCTTATCAGTGGTCAGGGGATCAGTCTCCCTCAAGCCTGACCTAAGGCTGGGACAGCCCCATCTTTCTCTGTTGATTATGTGGCGCATATATATTATTTATATAAATATTTCTCTATGTACAGGGAGTAAGAGTGGCTTTCATGGAGGGAGGGAGGCTGGGGGCCGCAAGGCATCAATGCTGTTGGAGTTGTCCAATTCAGTGCTGTCACAGTCTGAGTCCTCAGTATTGGGAGGGCCCTGTGAGGAAGAGTAGAAATGCAATGAGATTCCTTCAGGGTCCCTCACTGGGGTCATTTTTAATGGCCAGTGGCTTACTGATTTTATTCCTTCCATATTTCAGTTGCCTAAGCCATTCTTCAGGGCACCAGGCTCCAAATTAAGGATTCCTCCCTAGCTACAATTCATAGCTGCCAAGCCAGCTATAGTCAGGCACCATACTATAGGCCTCTGAAATTCCACCACATAGATGCTCATTCTTTCTGGTATGGGAGGAAGCTGGCTCAGAAATCCAGTGACTTGAAGGTTAAACACTTTGTGGTCTGTGCCATCTGTCTCCCCAAAGGCTGTCAGATGACCAGGTATCTGCTCCCATTTAGCTCTCCCTGTATAATACTTGGTTGTTTCTGTTCTGCAACTCACCTGCTCCCCTCTGAGTAGGTCCTGGTGTGGCATGGGCACGGTGCTGGGTACAGGGTCAGGGACCACCTCCAAAGGAGGTGGGTCCAGTGGGATTTCTGAGCCCTGGGAGCACATGTCATCAGACCGTTCATCGGGCCGCTCATCAGTGTTGGTACTGCCAACTTCAGGGGTGCCGCTGGGGGAAGGCTCACTAGCTGTACCTTCCTCCCCATCTGATGGATTCTCTGAGCTGAAGGTAGATAGTGACTGGCGCATGTTCAGGCCTTGAGGCCACCTGTATGTTGGAAAGAGGGGTTACGGCCCCTTGCAACCCACAAAGCAAAAGAATGCCATTATCTCCTGTACTCGCATCGCCCACCTCTGGCTTGAAGTCAGTTCTACTTCACTGTCCACCTCTCCTTCCTCCTCTTCTGAAGAGATGCCTCGTTTCTGCAGGAGAGATTAGGGGACTATGGTCAAAAGTGTAAAGTCATTAAGAGCCCAGGACAAGGGAAGGTTGTTACAAAGGGTGAGTTAGGGAATGGCTTAAGATTGAGAGCATAATATGGGGGTGAGACTTGGACCCCGGGGAAAACAAGGAAAAAGGGGAAGAGCTCAGGAACCTTTCCATACTTTACCTGACTGCGGGTGACAGCAGCCCTGTACAGGAGTGCAGCTGGGGTCAAGTGCTGGGACCCAGCCCGGCTTCCTCCCCGGCCCGAAGTCCCTTCCCTTCCAGTTCCCAGCAGCCCCACACCTTCACCAGGTCCTACTGGTGGAGGTGGCTCCCCTTTGGCTCCCCCAGGTGAATCTGGGCTGGTGGAGCCAGGGGCTGAGCCCTCACTTGGGGGGGTGTCACCCCGGGCTGGAGGTGGTGAGCCAGGATCCCCAGCTCCTCCTGTGGCTCCCCGGCTCCGGGACCCCAGTGCTGCTGACAGCAGGTCTGGGGATGACGAAGACATCTTGCGGAGCAGAAGGTCATGATGGAGCCCACAGAGGGTGGGGGGACAGGCCTCCCAGGCTGAGGGTCCCACTCCCCCTGGGCTTCCTGGTCCCCCAGGTTCATGGGGTGGCATAGCTGCACGAAGCCCAGGCAGGTCCCCACAGCTGCCCTTGGCGCTGGCCTTGCGGTGACGGGTCTTGCCACGGCGACTCCGTCCTGGTGAGGGGGGGCCCTTAGGACACCCAGGAAGCCCCACCCCACTTAGGGCTGCATCTAGTTTAGGTAGCAAAGACTCTGTCTTGAGGATATCTGGCCTGGTAGGGGAGGGAAAGTACAAGGTTGAGATTACTGAATTTACACACTCAAAGTACTCCCTAACCTTGGACAGTATAATACACATCTCTCCCCCTCTAAGCATCTGCTGCCTCTTCAGTGTCCCCCTTACGGTGCTCGAACTTCAATACTCATGAATTTGAGACCCACCTTTTGCTATGGGGTGAGAGCTTCTGTGGCATGTTCCTCTTCTTAATGAGCTTCTCCATTGTGTTCCCATGCAGAAGGCCCCGGGAAGGGTGTGACTTAAGTAGGCCTGGGCACCTCCGCTCTAAAGCTTGCTCCCGCCTAAAGATCCAGGCACCTTCTCAGTTGGGCATATGACAAGGAAGGGGCACCCAGGCTCAGTAGGATCTGTAAACCAGGCACAGCTTCGGGATGTCGAGCATAAGGACAGGTAGAGTTACCTGAGCAACTCTCGTTCCTTGAGTTCCAGCTGCAACATGAGGGCATTTAACTCCATGTACAGGTTGTTGGCTCTCTCCAGCTTGCGTTCGTAGTGCTCCCTGATATCCAATGCATGTCTGAAAGGGCAGAAAGATTCCCGTAGCTGAACCAGGCTCACCTTGTGCCATAATAGATCCCAGTCTCTGAGAACTAGTGGTGTCCACAGTTCCAGTTAGTAAAATCACTTCCCCAAACATAGGGACACACCTGAGCTCCTCCCTCCTCCGCATCACCAGCTCCTCTTCTAGGCGGTGCAGACAGGTCCCTTCTGACTTAATCTTTTCAAAGTGCAGCTTTACTTCTTCCCGCCACTCTGCCTGGGGGTGGAGAGTGGATGAGGAGTGAGGGTCATCCCTTCACCCAGTAGTCCTGTAGAAAGTCTCTGCAGGTTGCCCACACCCCTGCAAATTATATGTGTTGGAGCAAAAGGGAGTGGGCATAGGATTGATTAAGACAGGGTTTCAGCCCTCTAAGAGCCAATCTGTTCCATCCCTTTTTCCTAGCCTCCCCCTCAAAGGAATGCAATTATCTCTGCAAAGAGGGGGAGTTAGGTATTCATTTTCCTACCCACAGCACACCTGGGACTTAAAGTAAGTCTCCTGGGGTGTGGAGAGTACATCAGCTGAGGCAATGTCCAGATGCAACAGGATCTGTCGGAATGATGGACGATTTCGTGGTTTGCTATTCCTGAAGGAAATGGAGTTGGAAGGAGAGAAAGAGGAATTTCAGGGAGGACCAGATAGGAACTAGAGCATCCTTTCCCAAAGTGTGTCCTGGAGAATCCAGTCCTAGAATGTACTCTTGTGACAAAAGAAATTCATGGTCAGTTCTCTCTAGGAAATGTTACACAGTATCCATTAGCAGGTCAAAGTCTTGGAGTAAGGAAACCTATTTAACCCCATATTTTCCATCTTGTCTGCCAAAATAAAACCTTTTTCTGAGTAACTCCATTAAAGGCAACACACTGTGGGAAATGCTCAATGACAGATTAGGAATTTTCAACCTTCCCTCAGGGTCTAGGTTCCAAATGAAAATCCAGAGCCCTTTTCTTGTGTTTTAAGTTTGTCTACTTGAGGCTCAACCAGTTCTGCTCATTGGTCATGCCAGTCCTTCCGTGTACTTCCATGTACTCACTGGCACTTCATAGCAACCATGGATAGCAGATATTGTTAGCCATATTTTAGAGCTGAGGAAACAGGTTCAGAGGTGATACCACTTGCCCAAGGTCACTCAGCTCAGAAGGTACCATAAAGCTCAATTCAGATGTAAGGTCAATCTGTCCCTGAGTCTAATGTACCTCTGCAGATTACTCATCAGTCCAACCCCTCTGAGTTCTGGACTGTAGTCTCCTTGATCCACATCCTGGATCCTGGGTTCTTGGAGAGCCACTTCTGAGAGTTCTGACCCTCTTCCCCTGTTACGAATGCCTGGGTTCTAGGTGCTGGCTATGCATCAGCAACACCCCCCATATCTCAACTCCGGCAGGCCCAGTATCCTAGCCCCTGCCATCCTTACCAGCACTGGCGAAGCAGGATTTTGAAGCCATCTGGGCAGCTGGAGGGCACAGGCAGATGGAGACTGTTGCTTCCTACACCCCAGATGATGGCTGAGGAATCTACGTCTTTGTAGGGGATCTCTCCAGTCAGCAGTTCCCACAACACTACACCAAAGGACCTAGGAATAAGAGGGGACATCACTTGGGAGGGGCTCCCTCCAGAGGTTCTGGTTGCTACAGACCCAATCTCACTTGCGCTTGAGCCCTGGAAGTCGCCTTCCACCCTGATGGCCACCCACTCTTCTCAGTTCTCAGCCTGGTCCTCACCAGATGTCGACCTTCTCAGACACAGGCTCATTGCGGATCACCTCAGGGGCCATCCAGGCTACTGTCCCTGCAAAGGACATCTTGGTGCTCTTGTCACTCAGCTCCTTGGAAGTGCCAAAATCTGAGATCTTCACCACGTCGTCATATGTGATTAGCATGCTGGTAAAGAGTGTAGTCAGCTGGGATCCATGCCCTCCACACACCTCATCTAACTCTGCAGCAACTCTGCTTTTCTGTTTTAAATCATTTGGGACACCCAAAGGTAAGGGGCTCACTACAGCCCTCCCAAGATAGGATTGTCATTTGGAAGAGGTTTCTGAAATGGCCACATGGACTTAGGGCAGGGTCTGGAATCAGGGAGATGGTCACACTGACTTGGGTGGGTCACCTGCATGCATATGAGCTTCTTCCTGCTTGCTTACTCACTTAGGGGACTTGAGGTCTCTGTGGATAATCTTGTGCAGGTGCAGGTAGTTCATGCCACCAGCGATGCCCATGGACCAGTCAACCAGCAAGGAGGGGGTGACGGGGCGGCCAGCCCGTAGTACCTCATATAGCTGACCCTGGGCGCAGAACTCCATGAGGATGCAGTAGCAAGGAGCCTGGGTGCACACACCCCTGGGGGCCGAACAGTGGTATGAAGGCCTCAGCCAGCTCAGCATCCACCTGAGCCCCCATTCCCACCCACTCCTTTTGGAGCTCTTCTCTGGGAAGGATAGGTTAGGTCCTACTGCTCAGGAGGGGCCCAGGCCTCAGTACATTAATTACCCCCAACACCCAGCCCCTGCCCTGGTCCTCACTTGAAAGTGATGATGTTGGGGTGCTTCAGCTTGCGCAGGTGCTTGATGTCGGTCTCTTTAAGGTCTCGTACCTTCTTCACAGCCACCTCCTCCCCATGGAAGCGCCCCAGGAAGACAGCACCCTGGGCCCCTGAGCCCACCCACTGCAGGTCCAGGATTTCCTCAAAGGGGACCTCCCAAAGGTCTGTAGGCAGGAGGGAACAGGGCCACAGGCTCAGAAAGAGCCATACTCAAGGCCTTGTGACGTGCTCAAGGCCAGGACAGGGGACAGGATTGGGTTGGCTGAAATGACTCAAGGGGAGAAAAGTAGCCAAAACAGGCTGAAAAGACAGTTTGAGAGGACAGGGAAAGAAATGAGTGACCATAAAAGAAGCTGGGAATTTAGAGGCTCATGGATGGCTAAGAAGCTAGGGCTGGGTCATGGGGAGGGAAGGCATTGTCAGGTGACCTTGATGGGGCTGACCAACACAGGCTCAGAGAGACAGGGAGGAGACTCCCACAAGGACATGGCCTACCTTCCTGCTGCTGCTTGTGCTCGGTGGAATAGGCTTTGCCAATCATGGTCCAGACAGGGCGCAGGCAGCCAAAGAGGCCTTCAAGAAAGCCACTGCCACTCTGGCACTGTAGCCGCACCTCATCTGCTCGAACTCTGGACGCCCGACTCTCAGGTGACCCAGGGGCTCCCCCTGGGCCCCCTGTGTCCTGCTCATGTAGCTGCAGGACACTGTTGGCAAAAGGCTCAGGGGGTGGCTCTCCACCTGGGGAGGGGCTGGGCCCACCCCCAGCCTGCCCACCAAGGGGTACTACATCTCGAAGTACACACTGGGTAGGCGTCAGGTCCTTTTCGGGAGTGCAGTCGGAAGTGTCTGGGTCCAGCTTGCGCATGGATGCCTCGCTTAGGGTAGACACGAAGCCCCCAAAGGAAGGGGAGGGTGTTCGGGTCTCATGGAGGCAGGCCATGACCTCTAGGCCTTGAGCGGTGGTGGTGAGTGGTGGGCTCTGTGGGAATGAAGGAGGGAGGGGCTGTCAAAGCCACAGGCGTGCCAGCTCAGGATCACCCCAGAGGCACAGGTTAGGGAGCTGGGCTCACAACAGCCCTACTGGAAGTAACCCTTGAGCCTCACCCTCAGGTACCCACCTTAAGAAAACTGATACACGTGGGCTTCCTCCTAAGTAATACTCATGTATCAGGTATACAGGTAACATACTTGAGTATCATTCTCAGGTAGATACTGGTAAAATATATCTCAAACCCAAGTATAATAGTAACAGGCTAGTTCCCTTCTCCCTGTAAGATTACTGTAACTCACTACATGATACTGGCAGACTTCCGCTCAAGCACCCTCCGGTGACAGTCCTGAACCACATATCTCACATTCAGATACTTACACATGATGCCACTGAGGCCCTTTCAGGAACAGTCAACTCAGATTGAGTGCCTTATCCTAAGACACACTCAGGACTCATATCTGAGTCCTACTCTCAGGTGCTCATAGGTACACACTTGGACCTCTCCAAGGTAAGTGAAGGCTGTAACCACACAGCTCTGCTATCCCCCCAGCATGGATGGCAAAAAAGGCAGGACCATTCAATGGGGATGCAGAAGCTGTGTCAGCACAAGCTGTGGCTTATACTGCTCCATCCCCTTGGCCCTCCCATCAGTCCAGCTGCTCTTCCAGAGGTCAAAGGATGCCCTCTTTCCTCTTCTCCACTGCCCCACCCCCAACTCCCCAAACCAAGAGCCAGCCTTCCAGGCAATGGAACCAACCATTAAAAAAACCGAATCCTGGGCCGGGCACAGTGGCTCACGCCTGTAATCCTAGCACTCTGGGAGGCTAAGGCGGGCGGATTGTTTGAGCTCAGGAGTTAGAGACCAGCCTGGGCAAGAGCGAGACCCCGTCTCTACTAAAATTAGAAAGAAATTAATCGGCCAACTAAAAATATATAGAAAAAATAAGCGGGCATGGTGGCGCATGCCTGTAGTCCCAGCTACTCGGGAGGCTGAGGCAGAAGGATCACTTGAGCCCAGGAGTTTGAGGTTGCTGTGAGCTAGGCTGATGCCACGGCACTCGCTCTAGCCCGGGCAAAAAGAGTGAGGCTCTGTCTCAAAAAAAAAAATAACTTGACTCCAGGAGTCATCCTGGTCTCTCAGCTCCCTCTACACCAGTCAGTTACCAAATCCTAAGATTTAAAGATTCCTGAAAACAAGCATCCCTCTAATTGTTCTTTATAGTAGTAGTAGTAGTAGTAGGGTCCTTCCATAGGCCCCTGTAATAGTCTGGGAATAAGTGAATATATATATTCTAAGTCACGGTGGAAAAGGGGTGGCAGGAATCTGCACATACACATGGCTCACTGGATGATGATGCTGGTATGTATACAAGGGGGTTTGGGAAACCCTGATTGTCTCGGCTCTTGTAACAATACCCAGGCCTTTTGCTTGAACACTTGTTCGGTGGGTATCGAGTAGGCCTGGAATCTGTGTATTTAACAAGCACCCCAGGTGATTCTTATGAAGGTGCATTCGAAAAGCTCTGACCCAGTGCCATTCTACTCTCTTTAGTTCCACTGTTACTGCCTTAGCCTCATTAGCTATTGTCACCTGGCCCAGGACAACTGCCTCTTACATGGTCTCCAAGTCTTCCCCTGCCCCAATTCTCCACTCAGCCTTTGCAGCCTTCAGAACGAGAGCTTTCTAAAACACAAATTGGCCAGCACCCTCTCCTCTGTTTCAAACCCTTTAGTGGCCCACTGCCCTCAGTCCAGTAGCCTCAGCTCCATGCTTTGGCCCCTGAGGCTTCTCCAGCCTCAGCTCCCACTGCTGTTGGTACCCATGCCATATAGAACTTAGCCTGACACCAAGCTGCATCAGGCTTTTGAGCCAGGGCACCCAATGATAATGGCTAAGTTATGCAAGATTTACTATGTATGTTAACCTCTGGTATAGGTGCATTAGCGCTTTGCACATTTAATCTTCAAAACTATAAAGTGGGCATTATTAGCCTCGTTTTATAGACTAAGGCATAAAAGTATTAAATAACCTGCCCATGGTGCCATAGCTGTTAAGAAGCTCAAGCTTCACACCAGGCTTGCTCTGCCTGGAAGGTGCTGCTCATTTTCTCTCTTGTCTTCCAAGTCTCACTTCATCCTGGAAGTTCTCCTTCCTTTCCTGACGTGTTCTAGGATAATGCCCCTTCTGGGCTGCCATAGCCCCCTGTGCTTCCTCCATCATGGTTCCCATTACACTGGAGACGGTGTGGTCCAGCGTCTGCCTCTTTTTGAGAGCCTGGATTGCTTTAGAGTGACGACTTCACATCACACAGGATCCCAAGGCTTCCAACAGGACCTGGCACACACGAGGTGCTCAGTAGGGTGCAACCACTGATCTACCCACCCCAAAGGATCATCTTAAGGATCGTGCACTCTCTATTTATACACATACTCATTAGCTTCCTTAATCCTCAGAACAGCCCAGTGAAGGAGGTATTACTGTCCCACTATATTCTCGAGAGAACTGAAGGCCAGGGAACAAATCACAGTCCAGTCCAAGCATCTGAATGCCCAACACATCCCAGGAGATATTTCTGGCTTCAAGAGGTAAGGCGTAGATTGTAATGCAAATTACAGTCAAACACAGGCCAAGCAACATGCCGAGACACTGGAGACTTTCCACTGGAGGACCCAAGGGTTTTCGCCTGCTTCCCATCCCCACCCAGCCCCAAAGCCTGGGCTCCCTTCTGGACCACCTAGAACCAAGGCCTGGGGCTCTGGACGCTCTCGCCGGGCAGGCCAGGAGGGAGCGATGGCGCTCGGGGAGGAGCTGGGGCCGCCTGCTGGACCGCTAGGCCATCAGTAATGGATCCCCAAGCCCAAGTCAGGGCCACTGGAAGCGGAGAGGAAGGGGTTACGGCCACCGTACCCCCTCCCGCCTCTCGACCTCCTTCCCGGCCATGACGTGGCGCGGCTGGGGGCGGGGCGGGGGTCCGGGCGCTGGGAGGAGGGGGTCCGGGGAAGGGGCGGGGATACAGCAGGCTGGGGGGAGCGCAGGGCGCTGCGGCGTAACCATGACGACTGGGCCCGAAGCAGCGCGTGAAGTCACCAGGACAAGATTAGCCTCGGGTCACGTGAGCGCGACGCGGGGGCGGGGCTGCGCCTAAGTTCCGCCCCGAAGCTGGGCAAACCTGTGTGTCCGGTTTCTGGGATGGTTGCGGGCATCGTAGATGCGGAACCCTGACCCGGCAGTCTGCCCCATCTGTGTTCCTTTCATTCCCGTACCTTCTCCCCGCACGCAGACAGACCTTCGGCTGTGGCGTCGGGTGAAGAGAAAGCGATTGGTGTTGGAGGGAGGGAACTCGTGTGGCTGCTATTGGGGGCGCAGTTCCATAGGGGAGGAAAGCAGGAAATGGAAAGAGGGAGACAGGACGCAGAAAGGGCGAAAGGCACAGCCTGGAGAAGGAGGGACTAGCCGAAAGACAGACCGGAACAGCGTGAAGCACGGAGAGAGTCAGACCCGGAGAAGGATGGACTAAAAGCGGAGGAGGACCCTGAGAAAATGGAGATGAAAGGGAACTGAGAAATACAGAGGGCATCTGTCCACTCCCCAATTCATTTTCCGTCTAGCAACTGAGCTTTGAGTAGGCACACCTGGCTTTTTAAAGGAATTTTTCAGCCGTCACCTGGTTGTTTGGCAACTAGGAGGTTTAGGCATAGAAAGGGTGACATGCTCAGAGACACGTGCAGCCGAGCCTCCCTCCAGTTCACCAGGCTTCCCTAGAGGCCCTTTTGGTTTCCAGGGCCAGCAGCTGGGAGAGAAGGAGAGAAGCCATTTCACCTATTTTATCTTTTAGGGCAGTCGGAATAGCTGGAGAAGTAGGAGACGGGACCAAGGGAAAAGTAGGGAATTTAGCCAGGCTCAATCTACCCCCACCTCATTCTCAGACTAATAACAACCCTTCCAGATTGATCAAAGAAGCGGGATGGGGAGCTGAGGCCGCAGGGAGCTCTACAAAACTGGAGATTCCTCTCTCCCACCCTTTCTATCTCCTTTATTGCTGACCTGCCAGCTGTGCCCCACTGCTCCCTGGCTGGGCCTTGGCGCCAGGCCCTGGGGTGGGGTGGGATGGGGGGACAGCATGGCGAGGAGCCCCTGGCCCAGGCGTTAGGTCACCCTGGGGGAGTGGAGCTGTCTCCCAGGTCGTCAGTTATGCCGAGCATGGGGGGAAGGGCAGCATTATGACAGGAGGGGTGGATATCTCTGTCATTCTGACAATCCTACCTACCAAGTATTGACTGTGCATCTGCCTCAGACTGGGTAAGGGGTTAGAGTGGTCTCTAAGCCATACATCTTCCAGGGAAAGAGGCTCTTGGGACCCTGAAAGGGCTTAATTCAGTTTCAGCTAGGAGTGTCTCTGTTCTGTTGGTGGTTCTCAGAGTGCCCTACCTAGAGGCTATAGGGTAGAGTGGGGCAGGAAGTCACCCCATCTACCCCTCCTCCTAGGTTCTCTTGCCTGAGATGTTGGAGGCCTGTGGCAGGTACACCTTTTGAGTTTTCTCTAGCTCCTTGCTCTAACAGCAGAATCTCAATGCCAAGCTGCTTGTTTGGCAGTTCAGTTCAGAGGCCAGGCCATCTTGTGCTCTCACTGAGCACTCTCCACTATCTGGGACCTCAGCTTCCACTAAGGAAAAGAAGGAAGACTCCCCTTCTAAGTTGGGGGTCTTCAAAGGGAAGGGAGACCCAAGACTTTGGAATCCTAGTTCCACCTTATGCAGGCTTTGAGACCCTGGGAGGATAAAGGACTCTGATCGATCGTGGCCATGCCTCCTGTCCGCTTGGCTGCAGCTTGTTTTTATCTTCCCTTTTACAAGATCCATGGTCCTGGCCCTAGGGTTCTTCCAAGAAGGAAAGAACAGCTTTTCTCAGTGCCCTCATGAGGGAGAAATGCCTTCCCCTAGAACCTGTAGAAAACTTGGAGATTGCCCCTAAATCCACATCCTCAGCCCCATACAGGTCAAGTCCTGAGACCCCTAGTTGCCACACTTCTTCCAGTAATGTGGGCAGTGAAGGGGCTGGGGGAGAGAGGGACAGTACTGTTTAGGCTAAAAGAATCAGCTTTGGATTCAGAGAGATCAGAGTGAGAATCCAAGTTTTGCCACCAGTTAGCTTAATATAATCTCTCTGAGACCCCCACCCTACCTTATGGGGTGGGGGGTGGAGTAAGCTGGTGTAGGAAGTGCAGTGAGCACTATGCCTGCCTACTTGCTTTGTCTTCCTGGTTGGCTGGACACTAGGTCTTGCTCTGTGGATCCTGGAGAGGCCATCTTTTCTGTCTGACTAGAGAAAGGGAGAGTTGGTCTCCAACCTTCTGCTTCCCCAGGATAAACCACAATTTCGGGTTCCAGTAGAACCAGGTCACAGTGGTAGTGGTTGTGCTAGAGCCCCCAGTCATTCCTTTGCCAGCCCATCCATCTCTCCTCTGCAAATCCTACCATTCCACATCCTCTGGACTAAGGGCGAAGGCCTGATTTTCTGCCCCCAATCCTTACCCTCTGGCCAGTTCTCTTTGGAATCTGCTCACCTGCAGTCACACCACTAAGATCCTCCCCTTGATCTCATGGCCCAGAATTGGTCTCAACCCTACCCACTGAGGGCTGATGGGCAGGGGAGGGCAGTGGCAGGTTGGGTTGAGCCACAGGGGGCCGGTGCACCTGGAAGAAGTTCAGTATATTTTAACAAATAGTTCCTCAGCTGGATGTACATTTTAAAAAATCTGGAAGGATAGATACCAAAGTGTAATCGTTTCTAGGTAGGTGGAATTATGGGTGTTTTAATTTTCTTCTTTTGACTTACCTATATTTCTAGTATTTCAGTAATAACTTTGAGTTGTTTTCAAAATAAGATATAAGATGTATTTTAAATTGCAAAATAAAATAATTTTTTAAAAATTATTATCATTCCATTCCTGCCACCTAGCTTAGGACAGTTGTGCTGTAGGGAGAGTGGACAGTGTAGAGGGAGAGAACAGGCCTCAGAATCAGAGAGGCTTGTTGAGGTCTCATCTCTGCTCCTGAATAGTTGGGTGACCTGGAGTATGAGACTTCTTTACAAATCTCAGTTTATTCATCTCTAAAAGGGGACAGTGTCAAAACAGTGGCAATAGAGTAAAAACCGTGGTGGGTAAGAACACAGGTTCTGGGTCAGACAGACCTGGGTTCAAATCTTAGCAGTTGCCACATACTAACTTTTTGACTTTACCAACTTAAGTTTCAGTTTCCTTCTTCAGAGGTAATGACAACACTATCTAACTTAGTCTTGTTATGGGCATTACTGAGATAATCAAAATAAAGTTCTTGGCCCAGTATCTGGAAGACAGGAAGCTCTGTGCAAACATTAGCCTTTTCCTCCTTCTCAAAGCAAGAGACAGTAGGGAGGGGACAGGTGGGAAGGGAGGTGGAGAAACCAGCAGGGAGAAAAGGAGAGCAAAGAGAAGAAATCAGAGGGCAAGGGCTCTCTAGCCTGGATGATCTTTATTCTCCTTTGGAGTAGCGGCACTGTCACAGTCTCCTCACCCCATTCCCAAAAGAGGCATATGACCCTGGTCCTTCTGGAAGCAAAAGAACCAGACAGTCTGTGTGGCCAAGCCCTCTTGAAGGCCCTACGTCCCCTGCTGGCACCCTCTCAACACCATCTTCCTTCCACCCTAGCAAGGACTCCTTAAGAGCCTCATTCCCTAATCCTTTCTTTCTCTCCAGACCCAGGCAGAGGAGAGGCAGGACTGCACGTGCTGAGTCCAGCGCTACTAAACTAGTGGCTACTAGAGCTTAGGGGCATCTTCCTGGCAGAGTCAGATTCTGCCATATTATCACTGCCACGGGAAGGACTGGGGAACAGCAATTGGTTTTAGAAAAGTTCTGCCATCATCAGCTCTAAGGAATCCTAGGATATCCTGAGCCACTTACTAACTTAAACTTCTGGCCTCTGTCCATAACTGGGTTTCACTAAGGGACAGAGGTTTAGAGGTATGATTTCATGTGTGCTGGGAGTGGGAGGCTTCCCAGCATCACCGAAGTCAACAGTGTGAGTGACTGGATGAGTGATGGGCTTGGGAAGGCAGACCCTTCTTCACCCTTAAGTGTGAGCTAGGAAGGAGCAGGGCCCTAACACTCAGGGAAACTTCAGTGCCTGGGCAGGAGAGCTCAGGGGACATTCAGGCCCTTTCCTTCCTGAATCCCTTCTCTTGCCTTAGCTTGGTATGACCCTCTGGTGAAAACCAGAGCTCCCAGAGCAATGGAGCTGGCCCTGAGAATTTTAAGGGAAATGATGCTTAGAGGGAGGCACTGACTGTGGCTGGAGGGGACTCTGGGTGGGATGAGGGGACCTCATGTACACGCCCTCCTGAATGAAGGCCATTCACCTACTTTCCTCCCCAACAGTTAGCAGATAAGGGAGCTAAAAGGTGGGATTCCTCTTTTACTTCTAAGAACACCTCACTATTTCCTTGCACTGTCTACACAGCCTTGATTCCTTCTCTTCCCTCCCCTCAGCTAAGGCCAGGGTAATCAGCAAGTCTCAACTCTGTGGAAAGGATTCTTGCTTATTTTTAAGCCAAGGAGTGTGAGGAGTGTGGAAAAGGTAGGAGGTCGTTTGAGGGCCTGGCCAGGAGAAGTGGATTAGGGGAGCCAGAGGCTATGGACAGAGGAGGAAGAAAGCCACATATGTGTGGGGGAGGGGAGGATGCAACAGCTGGATGGAGAAAGTAAATGCCACAGCTGGAGGGGATTAGGAGCATCACAGCTGGAAGGGGAGGGGGACCAGCACCTGGGCATCCAGGAACAGGTGCTCTCTGCTTGTAATCTTCAGGTCCGGCCCAATAGGTGCTTGTGGGGGTGGGGTGGGGGAGAGGGAGAAGGTGGGTGCACCAGGCCTTGCCCTTCCTTTCCTTCCCTGGAGGGGCCAAAACTCTCCCTCCTCCTTTCCCTCTCTCCCTTCTTGGGGATGAGTGGGAGAAGAGGATGTTCTCTTGCTCTCTGTCCAAGTCTGTCCCCCAATTACCCTACTCCCCACCCCAATACAGTCCTTTCCAGCCCTGGAGGCCCTTCATCTCCGAGCTGGGCCGCGGCATCCCTCAGCTCCGTTCCCCTCCTTCCCAGCCCCACAGGCGTCGGGTCCAGGTTCCCAGTCCCTCCATCCCCACAGCCTCAGCATCCCCGCGCCACCTCCCCCAACCAGGCCACATCTGCATCCCGACCCTCCCTCCACGCCCGGATCCCAGGACCCGGACCCATCCCTGCCCCCCACCCCCCGCGACTCGGCCAGGCTCTCACCTCGGGGGCTCCGCGGCCGCAGCACAAAAGGCGGCGCTGCTGCAGCTCCGCTCCGGATGCTGCTCCCGCCTCCTCCTCCTTCTCCTCCTCCTTCTCTCCTCCCCCCGCTGCCCTCCACCGGACCCAGGGCGCTGTCACAGGCGATGCTCGGGTGATGTCCGGGTGCGCGGGTGTCAGCCCCAGCTTTCTGCCCCCACCCCCCGACCCCTAGCCAGTCTCTACTCGGCTTGAACTCCCGCTCCTACCACGGCCCCCGCCCCTGGCCCCCCGGGACGGACACGCCCTGAGCGGAGGATGCTGCGCTGGAGCCGCCGGCCTCTTAAAGGCGCCCGCTGCTGCCATCGGCGCTCTCCAGGCTCGTCCCTGGCCCGCCTGGGCCCCACGCCTCCCTGCTGGCGGTTTCCTGTGGAGGTCCCACCTTGGGCCTTATGCTAATTCCGTAGGAACCCCCTTTGACCCGTCTTATAAACTCCTTCCTACACCCTGAGAGAGCAGCCCCTCAGATGGGATCCCCAGCGCTCTGGCATTGCTCCCCTGTCATACTGATCTTGCCAGCTTTCTTTCCCCTAATTGTCACTACTCCAGTTTCACCCAATTGGAATTCGCTCAGCTCTAGGCCCGCTCCTCCTCCAGTGTTCCTGGATGACCCCTCATTGTCATTCCAAGATTCCTCTGGACCTCCAACCCCGGCTCAGAGCAAGACATCTCTTCCGTGACCCATTCTCAAAACACTCATTAAAATCACTTTTTCTAATGATCTCTGTCTCTCTTTCCAAGGTCACACGATTTTCCCTATATCTTTTAGCCCAGTGGTTGTGTGATTTTGAGAAGGAGAGAATGGGGCTTTGGGACCCCAAAATACATGTCTGCTCTCCACCCGGATTAGTTAGTCGATTAGTCTTAGGAGGCCGGACTCCTCTCTTGCTCTCTTCAGCAGAGAGACCCAAGACTCACTGCAGAGTGAATGAATGACACCATCAGGTGCATTAGGCCTAATTTTGTCCCATTACAGCCTGATTCTCAGGCCTTGATTCCCTAGGCAGTTAAAGAGAGATTCACTAGGGTCATTCTAACAAGGCTTTAGAAGAGAAGCAAAACCTGAAGGGAGGAGGACAACCTAGGAAACGGAAGCGGGTTCTGTGACACGGAGGCCCAAGGGCCAGGAGCTTAGGATGGGAGTTGAGGGGGAACTGTTTGAGTTGGACGCGGACCTACAACAACCCCCGCGCCCTGCGGGGACAGAAAACAGTCCCCTCCCGCGTCTAGGTAAGTTCCACCCTCCCAGACCACAAGGAGCTAGGATCCGACAGCGCCTCCCCGGGCCAATCACAACCTTCCCTTAAGAAAGAGGCGTGGTCAAAAGGGCTGCCTCTTCCTTGTCCCCGCTCCTTTAGGCGAAGTAACCAATCTCATTGCGCCTGGAGGAAGTAAACGCAATCGGAGTAACCAATTACACTGCGAAGCTTCTCGTGCGTGTTGACACTGCCTCTCCAGCTGCGACAGATGGCGCGCGAGCTCCTGGGTTCTGTAGTTTTCTCGGGATTCAAAAGGCCCGGTGTTCGAGTTAGTCCTTGCCCTCCCCCAAGCCGCTTCCCTCTCCCCTAGTACGCATGCTCACGGCCTCACGGCCTGGGAGAGGGAAGGTGCGGAAGGAAGGAGGCGGGACGAAATTAAAAAACGAAAAAAACAGCCTTCGCTCTGGAACCGACACCGGAGGGCCGCACTCCTCCCAGAAGGCGGTGCAGCAGCCCGGGTGAAGCGCGCGGAGGGTTATGGGGCGGATAGCTCTGCTTCTGATGGAGACCCACGGAGGAGGGTGGGCGGGGGACTGCATGTCCCAGCATGCCCCGCGGCGGGCCCGACCGGCCGCGACTCCGGGCTTGGCCCCGGCCCTAGCTCGTCGGTGGTGTACTGGGGCGCGTGGAGGCTACAGTCACTGTGGCGCCCGCGGGAACGGAGGAGGGAATGAGTGAAGAGGAGCAAGGCTCCGGCACTACCACGGGCTGCGGGCTGCCTAGGTGAGCCGCCTCGTACCGGTCCCTGCAAGGAGAAAAACGTGGGGCGGTACGGAGGGTATAGCTGCGCGGCCCCAGCATGCACCTTGCCTGGGGGATGTTCCCGGCAAGCACTGGGGTAGTGGGCAGTGGTTCCCGGCATGCATCGGGGCTGTGGCTACTGCTTTCAGCTTTAAATAGTTTGGGGTTGGCCTGGTTCCCAGGCTGCACTGAAGCACTGGGCTTTTATACCCCCATGTTCAGTGCATTTGGTGGGTACTGGGTTCCTAGCCTGCAGTGTGTCAGGGGGCATGCACTTTCAACCTGCACTGGGGCACAGGATCCCCCACCTTAAGTGAGACAGGAACAGAACAGTGCATTCCCTACTTGCTTTGGGGTAGTGGACTCTGCTTTCCCAACCTGCACCTCCACTTGGACCCCAGCCAGTGGATGCTATATTGCCTGGGGTCCCCTGGACCCTATGTCCCACTAGTGTGCCTAGGTCTGGTATGGCAGTGCTTGGCTAAGTGGGTGCAGAGAGGGGAAGTGTGATGTGGGTCTGTGCCCTTTCCCCCAGTATAGAGCAAATGCTGGCCGCCAACCCGGGCAAGACCCCGATCAGCCTTCTGCAGGAGTATGGGACCAGAATAGGGAAGACGCCTGTGTACGACCTTCTCAAAGCCGAGGGCCAAGCCCACCAGCCTAATTTCACCTTCCGGGTCACCGTTGGCGACACCAGCTGCACTGGTGAGGAAGGCTTGGTCAGTCTGGCCGGGGTGTGCGTTCACAGGGCCCCGTGGCTTTGTTTATTGGAGTCTCTCTCTTCACAGTCTTCTTCTCCAAGGCCAGTGAGGGAAGGAGAGATTACAGGGGAAAAGCTACTGACTGGATTGGGAGGACAGGGCTGTGAGAAGGTGGGTAGGACTTGGGAGAGTTAGAGGAGCGAGCAGGACTGCCGCAGTGATCTGGCAGATCCTCATCACCCCAGAGGAAAAGTAAGAGGAGATAAACCGAAATCTCAGTGGAGTATTTGGGGGAGTGAATGCCTGTTGTGCTGGGCCCTGTTCCAGGTGCTTAACCAAATTCCCATTTAATCTTAAACCTCAGTCTAACCATTGATGTAGGTGGTAGTATCCCCATGTTGAATATCAGAAAACTGAGCATCAAAGATATTAAATGGCTTGTGCAAGATCACATGGCCAGTAAGTGGCAGAGCAGGGCTTTGACTCCAGAGCCTACCCTCTCTTTTTTTAGCTATCTCTATTTATTGAGGGAAAAGAAAGTGCCTTGCAAAGGAAAGTAAGGCAGAGATAGAATTTCTACCTAAGGTGTTTGAGCTCAGAAGTCCTCCCTGGCATGGCTTGATTCTGAGAGCTAATGGAAAGATAAGGGCCCTTCTTTCTAGCAATCAGTGAAACACTTCCAGTCTTTGGTCGGGGGGAGGTTGGTTACAGGGGGGTTGGTTGACTCTCTCTGGCTGCAAGGAGAGAGGCTGTGGGATTCTGGTTTCTCTTCTGTCCTTCCAGTGACCTCCAGTATTGCCCACGCCCCCTCTCTCAGGTCAGGGCCCCAGCAAGAAGGCAGCCAAGCACAAGGCAGCTGAGGTGGCCCTCAAACACCTCAAAGGGGGGAGCATGCTGGAGCCGGCCCTGGAGGACAGCAGGTGAGGGAGGAACAGCCAAGGCATTCTAGAAGCCCTGCCAGGAACCCAGGCCCCTGCACCACCCCCTCTCCCCCTAGGGCTGGCCTGGTGACTCTTAGCCACCCTGACCTGGCCTCTTCCTGAGAATTTCCTCTGGACCCAAACAGGGTGCTTCTAGGGCTTCTGCTGTGTGAAGAATTCTGGGGGGAATGGCCAGCCCTGCTGAGGGTTTGTGGCTGTAGTTTGGCTCCGGGTTAGGGAGGGAAAGGGGTGGAGACTGAGGCTAGAGTTGCTCTCCAACATGCCTCCTCTTCCCAGCAAGAAGTCCTTCCCTCTTCCACACTTGGGTTGGAGTTTCTTGCTCCCATGGTTCTTGGGTACAAAGAGACCCCCTTTTCTGTTTGGCAGCAAATGATTCCAGGAGGAAGCTATTGGTTGAAACTTCCTGAGTCTTTGGCTCAGTTGGGAAGGAGTTCTCTTAGGGCATGGCCAGTCAGGAGGACCTGGGTCCCCCGCCCCTCTATTCTCCCTACACATGGGTGTGAATCAAAGGCCCCCTTCCCCTCGGGAAGTTCTTTTTCTCCCCTAGACTCTTCACTGCCTGAGGACGTTCCAGTTTTTACTGCTGCAGCAGCTGCTACTCCTGTTCCATCTGCTGTCCTAACCAGGTATCTTGTGTCCCCTGACTGCCTGAGGGGGCAAGGGAGGGGTCCTGGCTCCTGGCCCTTAAGCCCTTGGATCCTGGCTGGTCAGGCATGAGGAAGTCTAAGCATAAACAGGATAGAATAGTTGGGGACCAGAGCTTGAAGAATTTGCACCAGCTGGTAAACTCTTGGGACAGGAGGTAATTTATGATTTTTAAATAGCCATATGTATGATGTTCAGCCATGTTTAAAGGTCTTGCAAGCCCCACTTTCTTCTGGGTTGGCCACATGATGGTCCCATGTTTGCATCCCATTAGGTGCTTCTGGGGATTGCTCTATGGCCCCTCTCCCACCATCCTGGCGAGATGGTGCCCAAGCATTCCACAGGTGAAGTGGGCCTGGGACCTAGCGGTGGCCTCCCTTGAGTGGGAGGAGGAAGCAGGCTAGGCAGACAGCTGCCTGCCTGGTGGGGAATCGGGAGGTGATAGCAGGAGAAACTAAAGCAGTGCTTAGGCCTTGGGCTCACAGACAACCTCAGAAGGAACCATTCCCCTCGACTTTGGCGCTGGGCCCTTTTTCCTTCAGGAACTCCCCCATGGAGATGCAGCCCCCTGTCTCCCCGCAGCAGTCTGAGTGCAACCCGGTTGGTGCTCTGCAGGTGTGCCCCATCCTCATTTCCCATCATGCCTGTCTTCCTTTGAACCAGGGGCCACGAGGGAAGGTTATGTGTGTTTGGGGCGGGAGGGCAGTTACCCTATACTCAGGCTCTCTCCACCTCCTCTGTCTTTCCTCTCACCTAGAGTCTGAGGCTCCTGGGGTGGGAGGGTGAGTGGGTGGGTACCGGCGTGGGTATGAGGAGCCCTTTCTCACTCAGCCTTGTGCACCTGTCTCCTTTCCAAGGAGCTGGTGGTGCAGAAAGGCTGGCGATTGCCGGAGTACACAGTGACCCAGGA